AAAAAAAAAAAAAGAGCAAAGGTGTTTATATTTTTCTTTGGTTTCTGAAAAAATTATTGGCTGTTGTTGGTTGTGTGCCATGGAGTCGATTCAAACTTATGGAGACCCTATATTGGGTTTCTGACGTTGTAAATCTTTACGGGAGCAGAAAGACTCAACTTTCTCCTGTGGAGGAACTAGTAGATTTGAACAGCTGACCTTGTGGTTTGTAATCCACTATGCTAGTGAGGTTGGCCCAGGATTGGGCAGGGTTTCGTTCTGCTGTGCATAAGGTCGCTATGAGTTGGTACTGACTCGACGGCACCTAACAACAACAACAATGCTACCAGGGTTCCTTGTCTTTTTCTTTTGTTTCTGAAAAATTATTATCTGCTGTGGCACTGTAGGATAAGTACTGGATTGAGAACCACAAGGTCAGCAGTTCAAACCAACCATCAGCTCCTTGGAAACCATAATATATACAAGGTCACTATGAGTCAAAACCAACTTGATGGCACTTAACAACAACAAATTGGAATGGATTCCTACTGTGGCACTGTAGGATAACCACTGGATTGCTCACTATAAGATTGGCAGTAGTTCATACTCATCAGCTGCTCCTTGGAAACCCTTTACAAGGTTACTATGTGTCAGAACTGAGTCAATGGTACTTAACAACAACAACTCTTTCATGGATGCATGAACCTATGTGTTGGGGGTGAGACATAACACTCATGAATGGCTGGGGACGCCTCCTCAGTCATAACCTGTACACAGCATGTGCTCCCCAGATCCTGGATGACTAGCTGGAATTCAGTCACTGCTCTCTCCAGATCTATCCTGCCTTCCAGTTTCCACCTTATTCTATTTTGTTTCTTTCTCAGGATTACAGGCTCTCTTCTACTGACCCATGAGTATAAAAGAAAATATGACTTGGGGAACATTATTCAGCATGGCACTAGGAATGTGTTTCTCTTTTTTTCCAAATACTCATTCAGAATACACAGATGGATTATGTTCTTACTAAACTGGTGAAATATCTATGTTACCAGTGCATGTTTCTATTTGCATTATTTATTTTGAAAGGATACATGGACTTTGGTAGCATTTGTTAACTTTGGAAAGGGAACTGGGTGTCTGAGGGACTGTCATTTTTGAACTTTTAAACAACTTTTCAAAAATTAGTAGAATTAAAATTTTTAAATGCCATCTTGTGTTGTTTGTTGTTATTAAGTGTCATCGAGTCAGTTCCAATTCATAGTGACCCTGTATAGTGTTTCCAAGGAGTGGCTAGTGAGTTTGAACTGCTTGCCTTCAGTTAGCAGTCGAGTGCTTATCCTACAGCACCAAACCACAATGAAATAATTCTGATTAACTAAGGAACAGATTAGAGTAACTACTTTTTTTCATTATGTCACTCCTTTGCTCTAAGACTGTCACAGAATAAAAGGATGAACTTAAAAGAGATGCATTTCAAATAATCAGGATAGTTTTATTTAAACAATTCCTTTCCCTCCACTGAGGCTGGAGGGGCAAGGCAAAAATCTGATTATGTAGAAATTTCCCATTTAGATTTCTTCAGAATTTGGGTCCTTCAATCTTGACAACTTGATGCTTTGCATGCCAAATATTATTAAATCCTATTATACATAAAGATAAAGTATTTTATAATAGTCTTCATGCCAGAAAAATATATTGAACAGATGGTAGGGTTTGTATAAAAATGTTATGCTAGGAGACAAAGGATATAATGTGAACAGTCCCTCGGATTGCATCCCAGTAGAAAGCCTTCATTGATTTTGAGTGGCCTTTAGGCATTATCTCTAAAGGCTTGTCTACAGAACCACTGAGGTTCATTGTTATCTGTCCTTCCTCCTCTTTCCAAGGTCCAGCACTGTTTAATGTGGTCTGTACAAACCTGCCTTTTGATCTAGGTAGCAAGGCTGTAATTTATTGACCATGCTAAGGTAATAGTTAAAAGTCCATGTGCAGAGAATGAAAAACAAGTGACTAAAGAGCATTAAGTATAGTATTGCGACCACAAGTTAAAAGCACATGCTTTCTGAGCTCTCTGCATTCAAGTAAAAATAAGTCCAATGATCCTCATTTTAGAGTAAATTACATTAGTTGGAAATTTTTCTGTTTTTTGTTGTTTATTTTAATGCTTATATTATGTAACGTATTATTGTTGTCAAGACATTGGATTGTTCCTTATACAGTATAAGGAATTTGGTTGGCTCTGTACACCTTTATTCAATTCACAATAACAAGCTAAAAAAAAAAAAAAATCAAAGAATGAAGAGTGTATGGTCTTTTCATTTTGTGGGAACAGAAAATATTTCAAGTTCTGTACCACTTCTGGAGTCCTGGTGTGGTGTTGTGGGTTCATGTGCTGGAATGCAAAGTCGTTTGAACCACAAGATTCAAGGTTACCAACTGCTTCTTGGAAATCCTATACAGCATTGTTATGAGTGGGAACAAAGTCAACAGTACTTAACAACAACAACAACCACAACAACACCACTTCTAGCTTCATCCTCTTATAATATTACACATAATCCTATTGTTGTTAGGTGCCCTCAAGTCAGTTCTGACTCATAGCAACCCCATGTACCACAGAATAAAACATTGCCCGGTGCAGTGCCATCCTCACAATTGCTACATTTGAGCCCATTGCCACTATGTCAATCCATCTTATTAGGGGTCTTCCGGTTTTTCACTGACCCTCCACTTTACCAAGCATGATGACTTTCTCCAGGAAATGGTCCCTCCTGATAACAAGAAGTTTGAGAGATAAAGTTTTGCCATTCTTTATTCTATGGCTGTACTTTTTCCAAAACAGATTTGTTTGTTCTTCACAGTCCATGATACTTTTAATATTCTTCTCTAATACTATAATTTAAATGCATCAATACTTTTATAGTGTTTCTTATTCATTGCCCAATGTTCACATACACATGAAATGATTGAAAATACCATGGTTTGGGTCAGGCACACTTTATTCCTCAAAGTGACATCTTTGTTCCTGAACACTTAAAAAAGGTGTTTTGCAGCAGATTTGCCTAATGCAATATGTTATTTGATTTCTTGACTGCTAATTCCATGAGTGTTGATCCAAGCAAAATGAAGTCTTTGACAACTTCAATTGTTTTTCCATTTTTCATGAAGCTTTTTATTGTCCCTATGCATCGCCAGAAATCTTGCTATCTGGAAGCTCCGTACATTGTGAGAATTTGCTAAATTTTTAGTTTTCCTTAGAGGTTTAGCTATCTATTAGAGAGGACCTTGTTTATTTTCATTGGGTTATATCAGTAAAAATCCCATTAGATTAAAACTAAAGAGAGGTTTCTCTCAAGATATAGCAGTAAAAACAAAACAAAACAAAAAAACTTCAATTCTGGGTAGAGAGTAACAGAGGTAGAAGAACCAATATGACTAGAAATGATCAGCTGTTGATCATTTCTAGTTATATTGGCTAAAATCCAGAGTGAAGAAGGAACCAAGGGATTTACAGAATGAGAAAGTCCTCTGCCCCCAAGTGAGTTATCAATTCACAAATGAATGAACTAAATGTCATGCTAGCAGATAGGGAGAACTAGTGAGCCACCTTCTCAAGTTATACCTAAGCTCAGTATAGTTGTTGGCTTATTCTCAGAGAGGACACTTGCCACAACCCAATTGGTTCTACACTCCTATAGCATGTGAAGAAATTATTGATCCCTTTTAGATTACAGATTCTTCTCTGTTCTTGGACTGAGGAACAAGCAGAGTCTTTATCTAGGGTATTTACTTACAGAGACAGCAGTGAAAATTGTGTTGACAGCACCAACTCCAATGGTTGCATAAACAGGTTGGCTGACTCCAGCTGACTCAAAAATGCTTGTTGAGTAATAAAAGATCTGAAAGGTGAGAACAGGTTAACCTTAATCAAAGAATTTAGGACTGATAGTTTCAAAAGACAGACACTTTAGGTTGTTTATTTTTAGTTGTTTCAATGGGACCCTAGTCTATAGAACTTCCTATGTTGCTCACTCCAGAGTTTTCCTTTAATGTTTCTGATTGCTTAAAAGTCCTCATATTTAGCTGAAAACTCTGCTACTATGTTTTCTTTATTTTTAAATTTATGTTTACTTTTTGTGACAGTATAGCACAACTGCAAAAACATGCACATATCCTAAGTGTACAGCACAAATAATTTTCCCAAGCTGAACACAGCACCCAGATCATGCAATAAATCATGTCCACTCCTCCAGAAGCCCCCTCTATGCTTCTCCACCCATCTTCTTAAGGAAACTACTTTCTCATCTTTTAACCCTGTAGATAAATATTGCCTAGTCTTGCACTTTTATATAAATGGAACCCCACACAATGTGTTATTTTTTTGTCTGGTTTCTTTAGTTCAACATTTGTGAGAAGCACTCACATGGTTTATGTATTTGTAGATGGTTCGTTATCATGGTTATATAGCATTTTATAGTTGTAAATATGTACACCACAATGTAGTTATTCATTCCACTATTAATGGGCATTTATGTAGCTACCATTTAGGGAAATGATGAAGAGTGCAGCTATGAACATCCTCATGCAATTATTTTGATGAAATCTGTACACATTTATACCTAGAAATATAATTGCTGGACCACAGATGCTGCCAAATTCTTTTCCTAGAAGTTGTGTCAGTTTTGCACCCCCACTAGTGTATGTAAGAATTCTGATTTCTATTGCATTTATTCCAAATTTTCTACTAGTCTTAGCAAAATGGAAAACACTGGTTCACAACTTCCCTAATAGCTGTTTATTATTTAGTTATGTTTATAATAGTCTTTTTTAAAGCACTGGTGTGGTGCTGTAGTTAAACATTGGATTTGTAATCACAAGGTCAGCAGTTCAAACCTACCAGCTGCTCTGGGAAAACCTACACAGGATCACTATGAGTTGGAACCAACTTGACAGCACCTAACAACAACAACAGCAGTTTTGTAACAAATGCTTAAATTTTTCTTCTAGAAGCTAGTTGTTTCTACAAGATCATTTTGATCTGTATAACGCAGGTGCTTTTCAATTCATAACTGAAAATGTGGCTACTTCTATATTCAGTATGCTTTTCAATTATGTCGTATCTATATTCACTCAGCATCATTATGTCATTTCATACTGCTGTAAATATTGTATGTTGCCCTCCTCCCCAATAGAATGAGAAAATCTTGAATGGCACAAGTTTAGCTTTGCAGCTAATCTGGTAGATTAAAGGGAGTCATGGAACCTCTTACCTCTTTAGTATAACATTCTCTTTTTCCTTGTTTTGTATTTATCATAACTGTTTCCTTCTTAGCTTATAATGGACATATAATATTATTGATTATAGACAGTTTAGAATTTAGTTGAGAAAAGGAAATTTAATATTAACTCAAAATTTTTTTCTTTTCTTTTTTTGTTTTGTAGTAAGACACATGGTGTCAACATTTAAAAATATCTTTCAGCTATTCAAAGTTCTATCTCCTTCCCTCTCTACCTTGATTTTACTTTGCTCTTCAAAGTTAGGGAGCATTCTTAAACTCACCGCATTTATCCCAGAAAACTGCTGGGCCATATGCAGCATCAGGGATACTAGAATGGGTTTTCGGTAGCTGGAATTGCTGAAGAGCTGGATTATGGAGACCTTCTGCTCACTTGATACTTCTTCCTTTTCTTTTCTTATCTCAGCCATGTCTTTGGAAACATCACTACATCCTCTGAGTCTTTTCAAGCCTGTTCTCCCCAAAATGATCAAGTTTAATCAACTCTGGCCCAAATAAAAATAAATTTATTATATCAATGAAACAGCTACAGTTTTACATGACTCTTTTTATTACTTCATAGCATGGGTGGTTGGAAATAACTTTTTGTTAAATTAAATACTGATCTTTTGCTTAAAAAAAAAAAAGTGGTACACTTGGCTTCATCCTATGGTAATGAAAACTATGATCATTATAATCATAGGAGGATCTTTAAGAAGCTTCTGATTAAGTCCAATATCCTCCATGTGAGTTTCTGGTTTGAATTGGAACAAATTTTTGTGGGTGCAAATAGGAGTCCTGATGTGGCATTGCAGAACAATGAACTTGACCAATAGGTCAGTTTGAACCACAAGGTCGGTGGTTCAAACTAAGCAGTTGCTCCTTGGGGACCTTATATAAGGTTGCTGTGAGGTGGAACTGACTTGATGGCACTTAACAACAATCATATAAAACTGTTGATTCACAGTCTTCTAACATATAATCACTGGCTGCATTCAGAAGGCAGAGGTACCGACTTCACAAGCAACCATTCATGCACACTGTTTTGCATTAGCTCATAAGTCCAAAACGATAAGAGGAAAGAGAAACAACCCACAACCTTACTTTTCTTTGCTTTGGCTTCCTCTTCTAACTTGATGTAAAGGTACCTAGGGCTTTCGGGACAGAAAAAGAGCAGCACAGTCTGGAATAAGGCTCGCCCCGCAGGCAGGCCCAGCATTATGTGCCACAGATCAGGATTGCCCAGGATAAAATCAAGGCCAACAATCTGAAATGGCAGGTAGGAAGAATATCAAAAGGTAGCCTTCTGTAACAACTTGTTAAAGAAGTACATTGGACGTTTGTAATTCCTAACAACATTCGTTCACATATCCACAAGATAGAAACTTGTACTAGTAAGTTTCACCCTAACAAAATTAGGGACTATTTGTTGTTGCTTTTTAAAATTAACCTAGGTGTGTTTTCAAAACTTGCATGGGACATTTAAGGTAGTAATCGACCAAACTTGCCTAAACACATTTGCTATCTAAAGCAATTTACAGCATGTAAAGTCTCCAGGCAACTGGATGGAATAATATTGCATCAAAAGCATAAATAACTTTAACCTTTGCTTATTAATACCTTCATAGGTAAAAAATAATAGGGCTTTATATATATAATAATTACTGTGATAAGAACAAACATGTGACAGATATAGCACTAGGGGTGGGGTTCCAAGCCCTCTCTCCTAGATCACAGAGCAAAAGGGCAGGATAGAATCAGGCTGCAAGCCCACGTTCCAGCTGAACAGGAGCCATTGTGATAATCATTTAGATACCAAATTTTCAGGGAAGATACTTAAAACAAACGATCAGCAAATGTCCCAAATTTGGGAACATTTCTGCTTCTCGATATCCAAATGGAATAATTCAATTCTAAAACTAGCTCTAGAAATGCAAGATTATTTGGAAGTTTGCCAGGTTACCTCCAGTGCCAACCCAACCAACCCTCAAGGGGAAAAGTAAGGATTGAAAATAATGCCATTTTGAGCTAATAAGCCTGTGTCTCCACAACACTTCTACCACTGCCGGTGGAATGTCTTCCTTCTGTGTGGCAGTCTTCAGTGAGATCAGGCCGTCAGAAAGGAGAAGAGGGCAAGATTATTACCTGACTAACAAGAATACCCGTGACGATGGCCAGCTGGTGAAGTGTACCCAGAGCACCTCTAAGCGTGGTTGGAGCAATCTCACCAATGTACATTGGAACCAGCCCTGAAATCAGCCCTGCATGCAACAAGAACATGAAACTTAAAACACAGCAAGGACTACCTCCATAGTCATAAGTGGTGTCAGTACACGTAATATCCTGACTAAAAGGCCCTTTCTAAGTCCATGGAAAGGAAGAGCCCTGGACGTCAGCCAGAGACACAGTTTATGCAAAGAATATGAGCATTTGTTGAGAAGTCCCCAAATGAAGTTGAAGTAAGGATTATGATAGTAAGAAATGATGTAGTTATTAAGTGCTGTTGAGTCATTTCCAACTCATGGTGGTGGTGGTGGTTATGTGCCGTGGAGTCGGTTCCGACTCATAGTGACCCTGTACAGGGTTTCCGAGGCTGTAAATCTTTACGGGAGCAGAAAGCCTCATCTTTCTCCCGCGGAACAGCTGGTAGTTTCCAACTGCTGACCTTGCAGTTCTCAGCAGGATTCGAAACCACTACCCTACCAGAGAGAAAGATGAGGCTTTCTGCTCCCGTAAAGATTTACAGCCTCAGAAACCCTGTACAGGGTCGCTATGGGTCAGAACCGACTCGACGGCACTTAACTACAACAACACCAACACTACCAGAGCTCCAACTCATTGCCACCCTGTATAGGGCTTCTGAGGAGCAGCTGGTGGGTATGAACCACTGACCTTGTGGTTAGCAGTCCAGTGCTTAGCCTACAGCATCACAGTTCCTCATAACATTGCTTTGCTTAGTTAAAATTCATGTTACTACTTTTTATTTTGGAGACCTGGTGTGGTGCTATGGGATAAGAGCAGGACCACAAGGTGGGGCTGAACCAAAAGGTCAGAGGTTCAAACTCACCAGCCACTCCTTGGAAACCCTATACAGGGTCACTATGAGTCGGAATCGACTCGACGGCACTTAACAACAACAACATTTTCTAGTTTAGATCATAATTCCTTAGATGGTCTCAGGAAAGACTTGGATATTTTAAATATTTTTAATCGAGATTCATGGGATTAAAGGGAATTAGAACATTATCTAGGCCAACCTTTTTTAAGTTGCTGTTGTTGTTAAGTGCCATTGAGTCAGTTCGGACTCGAATCGACCCTGTTTAGGATTCCCGAGGCTTTAAATCTTCAAGGGTACAGAAAGCCTCATCTGTCTTCCGCGGAGCGGCTGGCGGCCTCGAACTGTGAGCGGACCTTGTGGTTCTAAGTCCAGTGTTTATCGTAGGAAATCACTTGCTCAAGGTCACAGATCATTAGCCATAGAACTAATTATGGTGGTGGTGGTGGTGGGGTGGTTATGTGCTGTGGAGTCGGTTTCGACTCATAGCGACCCTGTACAAGGGTTCCGAGGCTGTAAATCTTTATGGGAACAGAAAGTTTCATCTTTCTCCCGTAGAACAGTTTATAGTTTCGAACTGCTGAACTTGGGGTTCACAGCCCAATTCGTAACCACTAAGCTACCAGAGCTCCTTATAACGAACTATAAGACCTATCTAAATTTCCACAATGTGGAGATGTCTCAAGACCACTGTTACGGTGATGGTGGGGTCTAGAGACGGTACGAAACTCAGCAACTTTGGAGATCTCCTTTCCCCAATCACTCTGACTTGTGTAATCTAATGTCTCTATTCTTTGCAAATACTGGGCTTTAGAAAGACTTTCGTCACTTAACAGAATAAAAACTTCGAAAAGCAGCAGGTCATTTTGCCTTCTGGAGCTTTCTTAAACACAGATGATTGCAATCACTTGGAAATGGTGGCGTTCTCAGCCATTTGCTGGGAACGATCAATAAGGGAAGGCTTAATTCAATATTTGGCCTTTCCTTAAAACTTTAAAAATAAGATTTATCAGCGCTTTTGCTTACAGAGCCTTTCAAACGAGATGGATTGTGTTTGTGTAAAAGATTCTTTGGAAACTATCTTCAATTTTTTTTTTTAATACTTCAAATTGTTCTTCCTATCTCAAATGAATATTTACACCATTGGCATCTGCGTTTCTGCTGAATTTTGCACGCAACTCCCTAATGTCTGCCATGTTGATCATAAAAAAGAAAACATTCATTTAGCTCTATTCTAAGGTGTACTGACTCTCTTTGAGTAAAACCCACTACTATACCTCAAGAATACACTAGTGTAGACATGTTCTCAGATGTGAAGTTATATGAATCTGAAGTCTTACACTATTTGCTATCATTTTAAGAAATTTTAATGTTCAGGATGGTGGTGGTGGTGGTGGTGGTGGTGGTGGTAATGGAGTCGGTTCCAACTCACAGCGACCCTGTATTAGGGTTTCCAAGGCTATAACTCTTTAAGGGAACAGAAAGCCTCGTCTTTCTTTCATGGAACCTCTGATAGTTTTGAACTGCTGATTGTTAGATTAGCAGCCAGACTAATAACCACTAGCTACCAGAGCTCCTTAATGTCCAGAATAGAACTAGGCATAATTTAAAAAGATGAGAATACAAGTAACTTGGATATGCCAGTAACCACTGTTACACAATATATAGTATTTTCAACTTTGCGAAAAATATTTTGTGAATTGTTTTACACTGTATTTGAAAAAAAAAAATGGAAAGAAAGAAGAAGAATGATCTGGGCATCTCTGATAGGTATTATTAGCTGCACTTTACAGAAGAGGAAACTGAGTCTCAATTAACAAATATATTGAAGACCAGACAGAACGAGACAGTACCAGAATTTATTCAGTCTCAGTCCAAAGCTCTTCCCACAGTGTGTGTTGACTTTTCACCTGGATAAAGCTACTTTGACCTTTGGTTATTTGTACTGGCATTTAAAATAATGAAAGGAGACATTTAATTAAGTTATTAATTTGTGGACATTTAGACTTTTGTTTTCAGTGATAATTGAAGACACATGAAATAATAGTCTTTTCTCTACTGCAGATAAAAGTGTTAGAAATATTTTATATTTTAATTTTGTGTAATAATTTTCCCTTTCTTCTACCCTAAATGCCATGTTGTCAGTTTTATGACATAGTTCACACTGTTTTTGTTGTCAAGTGCCATCAAGTTGGTTCTAACTCATAGGAAGTCTGTATAGGGTTTCCAAGGAGCAGCTTGTGGGATTGAACGGCCAACAGTTTGATTGGCAGTCCAATACTTATTCTATAGCACCACACCAGGACTAAATGCCCATACACATGCATAAAACCAGGAATCATGTTTATCTTAATAATTGAGACAATGGGATATAGTTGGTGAGGGGTGAAGGGAGGTACACGTGTTACGTGGATACTAGTTTTGAAAGGCAGCTACAATTTGGATTAAACTACTGAAAACCTTAGTCTAGAGCTTCACTGGCACTGAGAAGTTTTAAGATTTGGCAAGTTGTTTTAGAAACTTGCTCAGATTTCTGCTGATTAGTTGCCTGGGGAAGTTTGAAAAGGGTTACTAAAGTTTGAACTGCAAGATCGGCAGTTCAAGCTTACCAGCTGCTCCTCAGAAACCCTATGCAAGGTAGCTATGGGTCAGAATCAGCTCTACAGCACTTAATATCAGCAACAATAAAAAGAACGAGTGATTTCAGTTTTTCGGATGTGGAGTTCCCTAATGAGCATTCTTTCTCCACTTTGAGCTCCTCAAGGGTAATTGTCTACCAGTTGCCACTGCCTGATTCACTCTCCAGTGTTCACTGCCACTGAATCACCTCTAGAACCAGTCAGGGCAAGGAAAGATGGTCTGACAAATGGGCCAGGATGTCAAGGTATTACCAGATGAGGGAGATAGAAACATAAGTAGGGAGGTGGACAGTACGGGCAGAGTTAGGAGTTCTGGTTATAGCAGTCCTCTGTCTTCCTTTGCACAATGGAGTAATAACAGCTACCATTTCTTGGCTGATTACTGTATACCAAATTCTATGCAGAAACCTTTATATTTAATAGACGTCTTAGTGGTGCATAACAAAAATCTACAAGTCAATGACGTTACCTGACAGAAACTTATTTTCTCACAGTTTAGGAGGCTAGAAGTCTGAATTCAGGGTACTGGTTCGAAGTCTTTCTGTCATTGTTGGCTTTGGAGGAAAATCCCTGTCATCAATCTTCACCTGTCTCTAGGAGTTTCTCAGCGCCAGGTCCAAAGAACGCACTTTGTTCCTGGCTCTTTGATTTTTTTTTTTTTTTTAAGTAGGTCCCTGTGCTACTTCTCTCTCCATTTATCTCTTGTAAGAAAAAAGGTGTTACAGACCACATCTCAGAGAAACTTCCCTTACCTTGGATCAGGGCTGTGACCTCAGTAAGGTTGTTCTATCACACATTAATCCTGTTACAATGGATTGACTAATCACATCAGATCACATCATAGGGGATAACTACATCACTACATAACCACCAATGAGAATCATGGCCCAGCGAAACTGGCACATATGGCTGGAGACTCAATTCAATCTATGACAATAAATGAAAAAAACTCTCTAGTTTGAGATCCTAAAACTAGACAGGATGCCACTAGAAAGGATTAAAATTCCCACTTATTGGTCCTAAATATTCCTCACTCAGGATATTATTGACTTTATGCTATTGCCCTTATATTCTGTGATACCATTTTAGGCTTAAAAAATTCCCTCCATGTTATCACCTCCACCTACAGAATACTTTTCAGACAAAGTTGTTTTTTTTTTTTTTTTTTTTTTTTTGTGTGTGTGTGTGTGTGCATGTAAGACTTACCACAATAGAGACCTGATATGCTTCTTCCTGAAATTATAAGAATATGGGATGGCCCCAATTTTGAAAACCCCATCAATAGAGCTCCAAGCAACGAGAGAATGTTTGCTGCCATCATTGCTTTGATTCTGAAATTTAAAAAATAAGTATTAATAAGTTCAGCATTGAAGATTGATAAAAGTATTTGCTCTACTGTAAAAATAAATAAATATTTGCTTTCTGAGTATATGGAGATTTTTTTTCTCTTTTTAATCTAGGAATGATTGTTTTAATTTTGCTGTAAAAACTAGCTAGGGAATCTTAAACCATGATTGCTAACTGAATTTATTGATAGGCCAAAGCAATAACAATAAATAATAGCTATGATGAAGAATCTGGTTTCAACCAAATGAAGGATGTGATGATCAGTGGTGATAAATAATGATTTAAAACTTTTGTTGTTGTTGTTAGGTGCCATTGAGTTGGGACCAACTCATAGCGACCTTATGAACAACAGAACAAAGTACTGCCAGGCTCTGCACCAACCTCACAATCATTGGTACAGTTGAGTCCATTGCTGTTGCCACTGTGCCAGTCTACCTCATTGAGGCTTTTCCTCTTTTTTTCAATGACCCTCCACTTTATCATGCTTGACGTCTTTCTCCAGATACTTGTCCCTCCTGATAAAATGTCCAAAGTATGAGAAACGAAGTCTGGCCATCCTGGCTTCTAAGGAGCATTCTGGCTGTACTTCTTTGAACAACGATTTTTTGTTCTTTTGGTGGTCCATAATACTTTTAATATTCTTCTTTAATACCATACTCAGATGCATCAATTCTTCTATGGTTTTCTTTATTCATTGCCCAACTTTCACATGCATGTGAGATTATTCAAAATAGCATGACTTGTGTGTCAGGTACACCTTAGTCCTCAAACTGACATCTTTGCTCTTCAACACTTTAAAGAGGTCTTGTGAAGCAGACTTGCTTAATGTAAAACATTGCTTGATTTCTTGACTGCTGCTATCATGAGTGTTGATGGTTGATCCAAGCAAAATGAAGTCTTTGACAACTTCAATCTTTTCTTCGTTTATCTTGATGTTATTTATTGGTCCAATGGTGAGGATTTTTGTTTTCTTTACACTGAGGTGCAACCTCAACCGAGGACTGTGGTCTTTGATCTTCATCCACAAGTATTTTATGTCCTCTTCACTTTCAGCAAGCAATGTTGTTTCATCTGTATATTGCAGATTGTTAATGAGTCTTTTTTCAATCCTGATGGCATGTTCTTCTTCATACAATACAGCTTCTTGAATTATTTGCTCAGAATATAGATTTAATAAGTATGGTGAAAGAATATGACCCTGGTGCACACCTTTCCTAATTTAAACCATTCAGTTTTCCCTTGTTCTGTTTAAACAACTGCCTCTTGGTCTATATGCAGGTTCCTCATGAGCACAATTAAGTGTTCTGGAATACTCATTCTCTGCAATGTTATCCATAGCTTGTCATGATCCATACAATCAAAAGCCTTTGCATAGTCAATAAAGGTAAACATCCTTCTGGTGCACTCTGCTTTCAGCCTAGATTCATTTGACATCAGGAATAGTATCCCTAGTTCCACTTCCACATCTGAATCCAGTTGAATCTGTGACAGTGCCCTTAAAATGCACTGTTGCAGCCATATTTGAATTATGTTTAGCAAAAATTTACTTGCATGCAATATTAATGATATTATTCAACAATTTCTTCATTCTATTGAGTCACCTCTTTTGGGAATGGGCACAAATATGGATCTTTTCCAATCAGTTGGCAAAGTAGCTGTCTTCAAAATTTCTTGGCATAGGTGAGTGAGTGCCTCCAGTGCCACATCAGTTTGTTGACATATTTTTCAATTTGCATTCCATCTATTTCTGGTGACTTGTTCTTTGCCAATGATTTCCATGTACCTTGGAGTTCTTCCTTAAGTGTCATTGGCTCTTGATCATATGCTATCTGTTGAAATGACTGAACATCAAACATTTCTTTTTGGTATAATGATTTTGTGTATTCCTTCCATCTTCATTTGATGTTTTCTGAATTGTTCAATACTTTGCCCATAGAACCCTTCAATATTGTAAATCGAGTCTTGAATTTTTTCATCAGTTCTTTCAGCTTGAGAAATGCTCAGCCTGTTCTTCCCTTTTAGTTTTCTAACTCAAGATCTATGCACATTTCATTATAATAATTGACTTTGTTTTCTTGAGCTGACCTTTGAAATTTCTATTCAACTCTTTTACCTCCTTATTTTTTCTATTTCCTTTAGTTTATGAATGCTGGAGAGCAAGTTTCAGAGTTTCTTCTGAAATCCATTTTGGTCTTTTTCTTCTTTCTTGCCTTCTTAATGACCTTTTGCTTTCTTCCTGTACAATGTTCTTGATGTCATCCCACAACTCTTCTGGTCTTCAACCATTAGTGTTTAATTTATCAAATCTGTTCTTGAGAAGGTCTCTAAATTCAGGTGTGATAAGTTCAAGGTCATATTTTGACTCTCATGGACTTGTTTTAATTTTCTTCAGCTTCAGCCTGAACTTGCATATAAGCAATTGATGGTCTGTCCACAGTCTGCCCTTGGCCTTATTTTGGCTGATAATATGGAACATTTCTACTGTTTATTTCCACAGACATATTTAATTTGATTTCTATGTATTTTATCTAGTTAGAGCCATATGTATAGTTGACTTTTATGTTGTTTAAAAAAAAGGTATTTGCAATGAAGAAATCATTGGTCTTGTAAAATTCTATCATGCACGCTCCAGCATCATTTCTATCACCAACGCCATATTTTCCAACAATGATCTTTCCTCTTTAGTTCCAACTGTTGCATTCCAATCTCCAGTAATTATCAGTGCATCTTGATTGCAATGTTTGATCAGTTTCAGACTGAAGAAGTTTGTAGCATTCTTCAATTAAATCATTGCTAATTTTAGTGGTTGGTGCATAAATTTGAATAATAATTGTATTAATTGGTCTTCTTTGTAGGCGTGAACTTCAAGATGGATCTTGAAATGTCCTTTTTGATGATAAGTCGGATGCCATTCCTCTTCAATTTGTCATTCCTGGCATAGTAAATTATATAATTCTCAGATTCAAAAGGGCCAATAACAGTCCATTTCAGCTCAGTAATGCCTAGGATATCGATCTTTATGCATTTCCATTTCAATCATTTAACACTTGAACCCTGTTATAAACAGTTAGCTAATTTAGCTACCATCAAGCAATTATTTCTTAAAACTGTAAGATGATTTTTCAAAGAATAATTTCTTGTTGATAGCTGAATTCTTTTCTGTAGTTGTAACCTATAATACCTTGTCTCTTTGCTTTTGTTTTAAGTGGCACACACAACTTTCAACATGATGTAGATAATAAGAGAATCTTTCCAAGTGAAAGTTTATTTTATATGGATTATTTAGAATTCTTACTTAAATGAGACTTAAACAAAAGTAAACATTCTTTTATTTAACTCATTGTTGTTGTTGTGTTTGTGGTTAAGTGACATAGAGTAGGTTTGGACTTATAGTGACCCTGTATAGCAGTGGTGTGGAGCGTCTAGCCCATGGGCCCTGAGGCCAAAGAAATCATTTGGTCTATCCCTGTCAAGGCAACTTCAGTCCAGCCATCATATCGGGGTGAGTTCATTAAACGTTTGACCAAAGAGAGCAGGCTATTTTCTAAGTTCATAATTTTGTATGGCATGTGAATAATGCAATCAATTTTGGCAGCTGAGAGGTTCTTCTCCCTTGCTTTAAAGGGTTTCCAAGGAATGGCTGGTGGATTTGAAATGCTAACCATGTGGTTCAAACTGACCTTGTAGTCCATTGCTTTATCCTACAGTGCCAGGACCCCAAGTCTTATCATGATGGTGGTGGTAGTTATGTACTGTGGAGTCAGTTCTGACTCATAATGACCTTATATAGGGTTTCTGAGACTGTAAATCTTTATAGGAGCAGAAAGCCTCATCTTTCTCCCATGAAACATCTGGTAATTTCAAATTGCTGCCCTTGAGGTTAGCAGCCCAACTAGTAACACTACGCTACCGGAGCTCCTTAAGTCTTACCAGAGAGAACCATACATTATATTTATTTTAGCATTGTATGTCAGCATATCTCCAGAATCTAGGAATTAATTTCAATCAATGGAGTCCTGGAGCTGAGTGAAGAAATAAAAAATACATTGTTTTGTTCTATTTCAATGTTTCAAGCTTTGATAGGTAAACTTTTCCTAAGCAAACAAAACATCAACCTTCCATTTCCTGGAGAATAAATGTTCATAATCTCATACTATAATGACTGTCCATTGGATACAGGACTCTTAAGATACCCATTTCCTAATCCCCACACCTTGAGAACGTGCTACCTTTTACTCAAAGGGATTTACAGAGATGATTAAGTAAAAAACATTGAGATGGGGACATTTATCTGGATTTTCCAGGTGGGCCCTACAATGCAATCACAAATGTCTTTAAGAAGGAGATACAGGCAGATATTGTTCCAGAAGAGGAGAAGGTAAAGTGATATCAGACTCAGAGATTGAGTGGCATTCTTTAAAGACGGAGGAAGAAGCCACAAGCCACAGAATCAAGGTGACCAATAGAAGCTGGAGAGAGAAAGAGGCACATTCTCCCCTGCGAACCTCCAGAAGGATACCTTGACTTTAGCCCAGTGAAACTGGTTTTTAGACTTCTAAAAATGGAAAGAAAATAAATTTAGATTGTTCTTATGGATTGAATCATGTACCCGAAAATATGTGCCAAATTGTCTGGGCCATAATTCTCAATTTTACATAATTATCCTCCATTTTGTGATCAGACATAATCATTCTATACATTGTCAATCCTAACCTCTGTGATGTTAATGAGCCTGGATTAGCAGAAGTTATGTTAATGAGGCAGGATACAATCTACAGAATTAATTTGTGTTTTAGTCAATCTTTTATGACATATAAAAGAGATTAAACAAATGAGTAGAAATAGAGGCACCTACTACCACCAAGGAAGAAGAGCAGGGAGCACAGCATGTCCTTTAGATCCAGGGACCCTGCATTTGTGAACCTTATGCCAAGACATACATAAGGATCTCCAAGGGATGTCAAACCAACAGGTGCTGAAAGGAGACAAGGACCTGCCTCATAAACTGTACACCAACAAAGAAAGCCTTTCCCTAGAGCTAGCACCTCGAACTCAGACTTCTTGCCTCCTTAATGGTGAGAGGTACATCTGACCCAAGCCATGGTATTTTCAATAACCTCATATGCATGCAAAAGTTGGACAGTGAATAAGGAAGATAGTAGAAGAATTGATGCATTTGAGTTATGGTGTTGAAGGAGAATATTAAAAGGGCCATGCATGGGCTGCCAAAAGAACCAACAGATCTGTGTTGGAAGAAGTACAGCCAGAATGCTCCTTGGAAGCCAGGATGACCAAACTTCATCTCTCATACTTCAGACATATTGTCAGGAGGGACCAGTCCCTAGAGAAGGATATCATGTTTGGTAAGATGGAAGGTCAGAGAAAAAGAGGAAGACCCCCAGCAAGATTGATTGGCAAAGTGACAGCCTCAATGGGCTCAAGTGTGGCAACAATTGTGAGGTTAGCCCAGGACTGGGCAGTGTTTCACTCTGTTATGCATAGGGTCGCTATGAATAAGTGCCAATTTGATAGCACATAACAACAACAACAGCAACAAATGGTGAGAGGAGTCCTGGTGTGGCACTGTAGGATAAGCCCTGGACTGATAACTGAAAGGTTGGTGGTTGAAACCCTCCAGCTACTCCTTGGAAACCCTATGCAGGGTTGTTATGAATTGGAGCTGATTCGATGGCACTTAACAACAACCACAAATGGTGGGGGTTTAAATTTATTTGCTAAAGCCAGCTACTTGTGGTATTTCTGTTATAGCAGCATTAGATAACTAAGACAGTTATTTTAAGCCATTAAGTTTGTGGCAATTTGTGAAAGATCAACAGGAAACAAATACAAATTATTTGTTGAAATTGAATTGTAAACCATTATCAACTACCGAGAAGCCAGGAGAAAAGAGTGATTTCGAAGCTGGTCATCCCCAGAGCTGCAGTTTAGAAAAGGCTTTGAAGAGATGCTCAGATGCTGCAGTCTGTTTTTTCTCTAACAAGGACAGAAGGTAAGCGAGTCTATAATTTATGTTAAGTGTTTACCATTTAGGCAGAAGACTATGCTGTTGGTTAGGGAAGGGGTAGGGAATAAAGGTCTTAAAAGAAGCAACCTGAAAGGATTTTTGATGATGACAGATTGCCCTAAAGTCCTTCATCTTTACCACCAAATAATAGATGCTGGAATGCTTTATACACTTTAAGGACTTTTAACTTCTGCTCAGATGTGAGAGATAGCTGACAATAAATAACCCATACCAGAAAACAAAACAAAACAAAGTTGCTATCAAGTCAATTCTGACTTATGTTATCTCCATGCTTTTTCATAGCAGGAAGTGTTCTATTGGGTTTTTAATGATTGTAACCTTTCAAATGTAGATAGCCAGGATTCTCTGGGTGGATTTGAATCGCCAACTTGCTGGTTAGCTGCTGAATGCTTAACTGTTTGCACTACCCAGAGAATCAAATAATCTATAAATACCTGAAACAGTTGAATCAAGAAAAAGAATTAGAATTTTATGTAGGTGTATAAAGGTAAGTCAAAAAGTATTGCTACTGGGGGGGTTTCCAGTTTATACATGCATGGGTTTATCCCAAATAAAACATGTTCAAATATGTCCCTACAATCAGTAAATGACAAGTCTCTTCATTAAAAATCATGTCATTTCCCAGTGAATCTCCCTGGGAAACATAAAATTGTGGGAAAGATTCAACTCTTTTGTCTTAATTTTGATGACGAATTAACTTCATGGCTTTTTTTCAAGGAAGGTCATTTTTCTCTTGATATGGAAGATACCTCATTTTTAGTTTATCACAAGTCATTTGACAAATGGTCATCATGTGTGGATGTTCAATCCGAAGACTTCAGAGAAAGCATATCCTCGTCCCATTACTAGGACACAAATGGGAAGCTTTAGGGTAAGTTTCTGGTTCTGTCAGAACCTCATTTCTAAATGAGAGATGACAAGAATTTACATTTTTTTTTTCTTCAGGGGTGGGAAGAAATATGCTTTAAAATTTATTTTGTTTTATCTAATTTATGTACAAAATAATCTGGATATTCTCCATTTACTATTTAAACTAATTTGGTGCAATTTGAAACCATTTTTAAATGATGAAAATTAGCTTAAAAACTGTTTCTATGGATTTTGATTTAAAATTTAAGTACACCAGTAAGTTGATTTAAAAAAAAATGATAAGGGCTGTCACAGCTGAGGAAAGGCCTTTTCAAATAAGAACAAGAATAAAATCTGATGATCATGAAACTTTTGAGTTACAAAGACATCTTAACAGCCTTACTATGCAAAAGCTCTGGCTTTGGGGAGAGGGAGAAGTTATCAAAATATTAATAGCCAGAGAGGCAAAAATTATAACTTTGTAGCTGTATTTGGAAAAATTAAATGAATAGTAATCTTGGAGCCTTTAAGCTAATTGCCTGTGTTGCTATTTACATGTTTAAAGGTTTTGCATTTTCTAAATTTTCCATATTTGACACATTTGGCATTGTGGGTTAATGCTCTGGACTGCAAGGTTGGTTTGAGCCATAAGACCGGCGGTTCAAGCTCACCAGCTGCTCCTTGGCAACCCTATGAATTTGAACCGACTCGATGACACTTAACAATTTTTCTAATTAAAAAAAAAAGGTTATTAATATATAAAAGCTGGGCTTAAAGGGCAGAAAATAAATCTAAAGAAATAAATAATCATTTGATTTTTAAAATTTCATTTCCTTTTTAAGTAAAGTGGCTTGGAATTTCAATAGCTTTAGTGTGTCACATGCATAAGTGAAATTTGAGGGTAAAGGAGCTCCACTGATATTTTACATCCAAAACACATAATAAAAGCCTGAGTTGAGAAATAGAGACACCCTTTGCTTCATCACTGGTTGGGGCTTTGAGCTAATAGCAGCAGCTGGAAACCCCAGGCCATGCACACTGGGCAATTGGTGGTTGGGATACTGACTTGACCTTAGGACTTGACTGATGGATCTAAATGCCAGATTCTATTTTGAAAATGAAAAACTGGATGCCTGAGAAATGGAAAGATTTGTTGAAGCCCACTGACAGGTTAAAAATTCCAACACTGACTTTTCTGCTGAGTTCCTAAGCGAATAACCATTTGTGCAGAATTTTCCTAACCCAATTTATAGTTTAGAAAGCCAGATGATCAAAGGGATTATCTAGAAATACACATTAGATTCTCTTTTGCTATAAATGCCTCCACAGTGATCCAGATTATTGCAACAGCTTTTTCCATTGACAGGACTGAACTCTGATCTTAGTCATGAGTTCAAAAAACAACTCTGAAATTATTCCATTAAAAGAAAGATAACATTTTTCTAAACACATTCTAACATGATGAAAATATGAAAGTTGCTTCATGCCTGTCTATGAAATTTGCCTACCTTCCAAGTTGGTCTCCAAGCCACCCACCAAAGAATGACGCTATCATTCCACCAACAGCAAAGCTGGACACAGACAGGGACCAGAGCATGGTGATCATGCCAGCAGATGCCACACTTTCGTCCTCAACAAAAGGGGTTGGTGTTGGGATCACTGGGTATGAGATTGTGGGCATTTCGTGTGTACTGTTGATAACATAGCTGTTGATAGCTTTTCGTTCATCCAGTGGAACACCCAACACGAGTCTATAATGGGAAATTATAATCTGAGGAAATAAAATAAATGAAAATGACTCCAGTATTTCAAACATTCGAAAATATTGGGTTGTTGTTTTTTTTTCATTAAAGTAAAACCATACCAATTATGTGTGACACATACAAACATGAATAGAGTTATTCACAATTGACCACACCTTATAAAAGTTGTTGTTGTTGAATGCCATTGAGTCGGTTCTGACCCATAGCAACCTTGTATAGGATTTCCGAGGAGCAGCTGGTGAACCTGAACTGCCGACATTGCAGTTGAAACCAATTTTGGCGTCCAGCACATTAACCCACCAGGACTCCTACCTTGTGAAAGAGTGGCCACAAATTCTCTTGCTAATGGGAGCCAGGTAGGAATAAATCATTGGCGGTAAGTACCTTGATGAACAGAAGATTGAAAACCGTCCTCTACCAGTAGGTGTATAATAGGGACTAGTTGGGACCTAGTGCTGTAGGATAAACACTGAACTGCTAACTGCAAGGTTGGTGGTGCAATCCCATTAACCACTCCTTGGAAACCCTATGAGTTGGAACTAACTCGATGGCACTTAACAGCAACAACAGTTGGAACTATGAAGCAGAATCACAGTTACCACTCAAATGGAGGCAACTGCAAACAGGAGGCTAGTATTGCATAATTTTACATTTTTAAATGAAAGTCAGAAATCCAGATTTTTATGTAAAATTCTCCAATTTTTAATTGTTGGCAACCATTCAAATTGAAAATAGTCTGCATGCTGAAAAGATCCGTTTTCATGCTAATGTGACTTTTGCACAACAGGATTTTAATTGCTCACATAAATATTTCAATACAAGTGTTAAAATATATATAAGAAAAAAGATTGGGAAATATAAGATGAGGCTAAGAATAGACTTGCATAACAATTCAAACACTAAGTACTGGATTCTTGCTAGAAGTAAGCTACACATTCACCATCCTAGCAGCCAGTGCAAAGAGGAGAAAACAAAACAATCAGATGTATGATTGATGAATTCCAAAGATAAATTGAAATCAGTGACCCCTGAGACCTACAGGAAGTTTCTCCTGGTGGTCCTCATAGGTTCAGTGTGTAATAAGCTGAACAATGTTCAAAATTTTGTTTGAGAAAATCAAGTCTTAAATTGTACTTCAGTAGAGGCATCTATCATACCAAAGCGTATCCTTTGGGCTATCTTCTTCCTGTGGCATTCCTCTTAATGATCATTTGAAAGCTGTTCAATGTCAGTGAGCTGTGATGACCTTCTCCAACAAATACCTGGAATGCAGCTGTTCTAGTGGTGGGCAAAGTCCTATGTGTGTAAATCAGTTGTGTGAGGAGGAGAATTGACATTCATTTATGATACAAGAAGCCTGATCAAGACAATTGCCTCTTTGGAAGGTCACCTGTATGAATAATTTACATAGAAAAAGAGGCAGAAGGAAATATTCTGAAGGTTCTGAGCAGTTTTCCCTATGTGAGAGAATTATAGTTGATTTTTTTCTTATTGTTTCTGCTGTCAGCATGTGCTATTTTAATAATAATAAAATGGGCTATTTCTACATATCTCAAAACAATCCCAAATATCATTCAGCTAACAAAAAAGCATAGGATTGAATGACCATCCTTACATCAATATGTTTAAGCAGCTTTTTAAACACACAGAAAAGGAGGATTTATCAAGAGAAAACAAATGGATGCCAGTTAAGGGATCTCTGGTTCCAACTCTGGCTCTGGGATGTAGATCGAAGGATGGGAGACTTTCGTCTTGTTTTCCTTCTAAGGTTGGTGAAGATGGTTTAACTAAGATGGGGGAAGGGTCTTCCACAAAAAAGAGAATGGCCTCTACCAATTCCAGGTAATGGTGAAGTTGAACCGAATTTCAGGTAGCCTACTACAGAAAGAGGTCTTGACCTGAAGCTTGCTTGACCTGAATAGATTGGCCCCAGACCTTTAAGCCATGGTGAGGCACCACTGCACTCAGGATGATATGTGGCACTCAACTAGAACACAACTTTGACCCAAGGAGCAACCTTTTCCAGGTGATGAGCTGTGGTCAGCATATACTGCAAAATTCACACCCTGTAAGAACTTAGATCATCCTTGTAAGAAAAGCAGGTGGAATCATGATGAATTTATTTAGACACCCAGTACCTGCTCGCACCAGAGACCAGAGTACTTTCTCTGTTCTTGGCACTGATGACAGAAAGAAGTATCAGATATCAAGCCTGTCCTCAATACTTTGATAGTCTTCAGTTAGGTGGTGGTGGTGGTGGGGGGGGAGGGGGCAAGAGGAGAGGGAGAGTGGCCTCCTGTTTCTCTTAGTTATAGGTTGTTGTTGTTAAGTGCCATAGAGTCAGTTCAAACTCATAGTGACCCTGTATAGGGTTTCCAAGGAGTAGCTGGTGAGGTTCAAAATCACCTTGTAACCCAGTGCTTATCCTATAGTGAGTGCCACAACAGAAAGCTATGAAAAATCACATATCTCTCCTGTCCATTAATTGGACACTGGTAGAGACGAGCAAAATAAATGAGAAAAGTTTCAGAAATTATTTGAAATTATCACAAAACAAAACAAGAATATTCTAATTTGAAATTAGCACAAAACAAAACTAGAATATTCTAATAGTCATTATAGAGAAAGTAAAAGCTTTGTTGGACTTCTTGACTATTATTTTACAGTTCTATATTATTTTGCTTTGAATTAACTGTAGGAGACAGAAATGGGATATTAAGGTGAAGGACTATACTATTTTCTGTACTTATGGCTCCTAATGGAGTCCCGGTGTGACACTGTAGGATAAGCACTGGACTGCTAACCACAAGGTTGGCAGTGTGAACCCACCAGTCACTCCTTGGAAACTGTGCAGGGTTGCTATGAGGTGGAACCTACTCGACAGCACTTAACAACAAACTAAAGGTTTTCATTTGGCTGGAAATGGGAAAAGTAAGGTTGTTGGGTTGACTGACTTGAAAAGAGCACATTTTAAAATGCCTAATACAGAAAAAGTTGCTGTTGTTAACTGCTGTACATACTGTATAGGGTTTATGAGGAGTGCCTGGTGGTGCTCAATAATAAATTTTTTGTGTACTGAATGAAATATATTCTGTACTTTTCTCTTACTACTTGGAGTTTCTCACTCATGTATTCTTGGGAACCCTGAATAAATGCTGCAATAAGCTTAAAAACTGGTTGGGCATGTGATTTCTGGTTGGAATTTTCTGTGAGTTCAGCAAACTGTACTCAGCAATCAAGTATTATTTATGACCTTTTTTTTTTTTTTTTTTGGTGAGAGTTGCTGACTGAGGAGTCAAAACAGCAAAACAGTTTATGAGATTTGGAGACATGCACGTGGTCCCTGACAGAAGGCTGGTATTACCTGGTGTCCCCACATGGACACACTTTATCTTCAGGTACCAGGAACATGTGATAGCTCTCTCTCTCTCACTGACAGAAATTGCCAAAGAAGAGAAGTTGTACATGTTCCACTTGCCTGTTGAGGTGCATTGATTACACCAATGTCATATCCAAACTGGAAGGAGCCTAGCACGGCAGTGAAGACAGTGAAAACCAAGGTCCCAGTGACCTGTGAAGAATGAAACACAGGGCAGAAAACCTGTTCAGCAATTTCACTTATCCATTCTACTGGCTAGCCACAGTGTGGACTTTCACAGGCTGATTCTTTTCTCTCGCTACTCATTTACCCAGCAGGTATTGTTCATATGAGAACATGAGAGCTATTCATTCTTGCCCAGACACTTCTAAAGCCGAAAGATGTTTGGGACAGCTTGTTCCAGGGAAGGAACCAAGCATCTTTTCCATATATAGATTCTTTATGTTTAAGTAACCAAACCAAGACAAAGAACTAGACTTGCTGCTGTCAATATAAACAGTCATTTGTATCACCAAGAAAAGTCAAATGAGACTTAGTGACAAGGAGATGGGAGCTCTTCTGGACATTGCCAAGGTCCAAAAATACCTCAGTACTCATACAGACGTTGTCACAATCCACATCAACACCCACATAAATATACTTTTCAGAGTTTGCAACTTAAATTTTAACTGCTAAGATTTTTGATCCTAGAACTGTTGACTAAAGATATTATTTTCTCTCCAACTCTATGTAGTTACAGTAAGATAGTGTTGAAAGAAACAAAGCATTTACCCCCTCAACTTAGCAATTATACTCTAACTGTATCCTTGCTGTTGAGTTGACACCCCCATGTATGCCAGAGTAGAACTGCGTTCAGTGGTTGATTTTCAGAAATAGATCCCCAGGCCTCTTTCATGAGATGCCTCCAGGTAGACTAGAACTTCCAACATTTTAGTTAGTGGCTAAGCACACTGACTACCCAGAACCTCCTTCAACCATACTAGAGAAATCATACCACAGGCAATAATGTGGACATTCAAGAACATTCAGTACAGTATTTTTTTGTGTGTGTAAAATAAAATATTCTTGAAGTACAATGTCAATCAATGAAAAATGCTCAAATATATTTAGATGTGTCAGGGTATAGAATTTAAGCAGCAGTTAAAATTAATATGGCGATTACATACTCACTCTTATTAAGTTGCAAAGGAAGTTTATAATATCATTCATGGTTTTTCTAAAATGGCTTAAACATGAGTACTCTTTAATTTGTGTGTATATGTATATAATTCAGAAAATTTTCTTGGAGAATAAATAACCAGGTGCCCTTTGGGAAGGAATGTGAGACTACAGGAGTACAAGGGGTTAGTCTTTGTCTTTTCTTTATATTATTAGACATTTTAAAAGGAAAATATCTCATGTATACTAAAATTTAATATGTGCTACATTTTTTTAAAGTAAGGAGCATGGGATATAGTGGGCACTTTGTTGAATGAATAAATGGGTCTTGTCAACATATATTCCAGTTCCCACTGTTTTCCTTAGCAGGCATGTGACTGAGTTACTTCATCTCTAGGAGCTACAGATTTTTCTCTAAATGAGGAATGACTGTAATTTCCTCTACTCCAGCATGAAGAATGGCTCATTAGCCATTCAGGCTGAAAGTCGGAAAGTTCAGTGTTAACATCAACAAAGAATTATCACAGAAACACCCTGAAGGAAGCTTTCAAGTTATTTATTTAGTCTAGTGGTTCTGAAACCAGAATCTCCTTGGAGAGCTTGCATCACATGCACAGTCTTGGACCTTACTCCAGATCTGCCACAAAACTGAAAATCTCTGGGGTAAGGATCGGAAATTTATAGGTTCACAAAGCTCACCCTCATTCACTAATTCAGAATTAATTGCCTATGTAGACATCCTTCTCAGCAATTTACACTCCTGAAACAAAAGGCTTCAGAGCTGGCCCCGAAAGATATGATGATATGAAATATATGATACTACTTGTGTGGCTCTGTGGATTACTGCACTGGACCACAAGGTCGGTTTGGACACAAGATTGGTGGTTCAAGCTCACCAGCTGCTCCTTGTAAACTCTATGCATGGTTGCTATGAGTCTGGATCAGCTTGACAGCATTTAAAACAATAACAACAATCCAACATTATAGATTAAGGAGCTCTGGTAGCATAGTGCTTACAAATCGGGCTGCTAACCTCAAGGTCAGCAGTTTGAAACTATCAGCTGTCAAGAGAGAAAGATGAGGCTTTCGGCTCCCATAAAAATTTACAGCCTCGGAAACCCTGTACAGGGTCACTATGAGTCAGAACCGACTCCACGGTACTTAACAACATTATATATTACACACACACACTATTGGTTCTGTAGTGTACCAGAGGTTTGAAATTGTCCTCTAAAATGCAATTAGACATATCGAACTCATTGGCTGAGACAGTCAAAAAAGCAAATATGAGGTTCATTTACTTGATTAGAGGTTTTTCTTCATATCCCTTTTCCTCTCAAGCTGTTCCCAAGGACATAGAATTTCATTTGATTTACTGATAGTAACACTTTCAACAATAAGGAAATCTAGGAGTGCCTACAAAGTACTTAAGAACAACAATAAAGTACTGTTACTCACTTCCCTCATAAACCTCATCAACAGCTCCTCCTCCTCCCCCCCCCCCCCCGTTTCTTTAATGTGGAAAATCTGACTTTGTTGTTAACTTCTGTCAAGTCAGTTCCAACTCATAGTGACCCTGTATAGGGTTTCCAAGGAGCAGCTGGTGGGTTTGAACTGCCAGCCTTGTGGTTTACAGTCTAGTGCCGATCCTACAGCACCACACCAGGAATCCAATCTGACTTTGTTGTTGTTGGTAAGTGCCATCAAGTCAATTCTGACCCATAGAGACCCTGTATAGGGTTTCCAAGGAGCAGCTAGTAAGCTTGAACCTCCGACCATAAAGTTCAAATGGCTTTGCAGTCTGGCTCATTAACTCATAAAAACACTGTTGTAAGGCTTAATACTTAATATCTTAACAACAACAACAACAACAACAACTGACTATGCTTACTACATGCAAGGTGACTCGTGCAATATGGATGATCTCTTTGACTCCTTGAATTTAGTAGTTTAAACGTCTGAAATTTATTATCCTTCAGTCGTTTAGTCCAGAAGCTGGGCTAAAATTAAGATGTCATCAGGCAGTGCGCCATTCGGTAGCCACTAGAGGAAAATTTGGGTTAATGGTAGAATTCAGCTCCTTGTGATTGTAGGACAAGGTCTTCATTATCCTCCTGGCTGTAACTGAAGGTCATTCCTAACTGTAGAAGCTGCCACATTCTTTGACTAGTGGCATCCTTTCTTCATTTTCATAGCCAGGGATGAATCACTCTAATCTTCCCAAGTCACATCTTTATAACTCAATTATAGCCAGGAAAGATTCCCCACTTTTGAGGATTCGTGTGATTAGTTTGAGATCACCTTATCATTTGAGTATCCTTCCCACCTCAGGGTCAATAACCTTAATCACATCTCAAGCCCACGTAAGGTAACATATTGATAGGTTCTGAGAACTAAGACATGGATATATTTATTATTGTTGTTAAGTACCGTCGAGTCAGTTCCGACTCATAGCAACCCTGTATAGGGTTTCCGCGGAGTTTGAACTGCCAACCTTGTGGTTCAAACCAACCTTGTGCTCCTGTGCTTATCCTACAGCACCACACCAGGACTCCATGGAGGGCCATTATTCTGCCCACCACATTCCTCATGACAGCACCATTAGAATCCCTATTGTATAGATAACTAGACAGCCTGGTTATGGTCTCACATCCAGTAAATTATAGAATAATGATTTGGAACAAGAGCCTATGCTTTTGAAAAATGTGTTATTCTACATTCCTGGCTGGTCAGAAACAAACATACAAAAGTCAAACATCTCTAAATATCAAGATATGTAAAATCTAAGACTTTACACATCCACAGTATTTTCCATATGTAATTCTGATGCTAAACCACAAAACTTCCATTTCCCAGTAAATTTTCTAAGCACCCACCACACAAATCTCCACCTTCACCTATCTATAGAAAAATTTGTAAGTTCTCTGTATAAAAGTCCACAGCAGCAAAGGCTACTCAACTGCTTATCTGTAACTGAGCTGCACAAGAACCTCACATGCAAGCCCAGGGCCAAGTTGTGCAAGCCAATCTCTTGCATCTCCTTTTCTTCCTTGTGGCAGAGTGCACAAGCACTTGGTTTCCTACTCCATCCCTGGACTTCTGCCCTCTGCTGGCTCTCCCTTCCTGTCCCCCAAATACAAGCATAGATCCTTTTTACTCATTGTAAGATCCCAAACAATGGCCATGCCAGTGGTGAACAGGTGTGCCATAGAAGTGGGGTGAAGGTGGTGATGGATGAATTTGGCTTCCCATTGTCTCCATCAAATTTCTCTTGCCATCCCAAATACACAGTCTAAGTCACAACATTGTTAGTTGTTCCTACATTAGTTTGATAAAAAAAAATAAAAGGTAGAAGATAGAAGGTCTTTCAAAGATAGAAGGTCTCTGGAGTTCTAACTCCATTTATTTTTTCCAACCAGATTGTTACTTCTAAGACCTTACTGGAGCTAAGAATTCTAGAAATACTCCTAAAATCCATTACTCATGTTGTAAGTATAAAAAAAATAGCATCCGTAAATAAGAAATCTTCTTCTTGTTGTTAAGTGGCATCAAGTCGATTCTGACCCATAGCGACCCTGGACAGAGTTTCCAAGGAGCAGCTGGTGAGCTTGAAGTACAAATCTTGCAGTTCAAATGGCTTTGCAGTCTGGTGCTTTAACCTACAGTGCCACACCAGGATGCTCTTAAAAGACATGGTCTGGCCTTCCTGGATGCTTTTTCAAAGTTGGCACTATTGCTGCTCGACACCTCTCCCCTACCCTGTTTCTGGAGTTCTCATTTTTAACTCTCCAAGATAGAAATTTCACACAGTTGTCCAGGTAAGAAGCAGTTCTCTTGAATTTCTGAAACTTTCCAAATAGTTGATTACTCTAAATATCAAAGTCTGTTTGATTTCATTATTTTTTCATTCTTTTCCCCATACTTATTTTCAGGTTTAATTTCTCTCTCTGAACTTCATGTTAAACTGGCTCCCTATTTTTTTCTTTCTCCAACATTATGAATGAAAAGAAGTAATATTTATAGTGAATCTCCTATGTGACTTTGGCACTCACCTTGGTCAGAGGAAACTTTTGTTTATGAGAAGGAAAATTCTGAAATTGTTGAGTCTGAATAAACCCCATTAACCCTCATCATTCGATCTAATATCTAAGTGTTTGGTACATGAATAGATGCAAAATAATAATAGTAATAATAATAAAACCATTGTCATCAAGTTGAGTCCAACTTCTGACAATTCCGTGTATGTCAGAGTAGAATGGTTCTCCTTGAGTTTTTAATAGTTGTCATGGGATAAGCAATGGACTGCTAACCACAAGGTTGGTGGTTCAAACCCAGCAGCCACTAAGCTGAGAAAGATGAGGCTGTCTTATCCCATGAAGATTTATGGTCTTGAAAACCTTAGATAGGGTTGATATGAGTCAGAATTGACTCGATGGTAGTGTGTTTGGGTTTTTCAGATGTAGAGCACCACGGGCACTTCTGGGTGGACTCAAATGTCTAATCTTTAGTTTAACAGCTGAGCATGTAAATTGTTTGCATCATTCAGGGACTCTGGGTGTAGAGTAGCTAGTGACAATTTAAAGAGGCTCTTACTCTAAATGGTTTAGAACGTGGGCTTGGACAGAGCAAACCCAAAATCTCCTTGGAGAGCTTTTTCCACATACAGATTTTACAGTATTGTATAACCCTGTTGGGAGGAATTAGAGCCATCTTTTCCCATATGGGGACTCTCAGTTGTGTTTTCAGTTGCTTTACTATGCACCTGCAGATTAAGAACTCAATTTTCCCGACTCTCAGTCCTGTGCAAATCTCACTTCTTTCAAGGTCTAGGTAGATCAAAAAGCTGAAAAACATTGAGCTTTATGTCAGTTCACTTTCTTTCTTGGTTCCATTATAGATAGTTCCTTTGTTCTCTAACAAAGTCCTACAACACAATTTCTAAAGCCCCTTGAGGGAATGTAATGATCCTTCTAAAGGAAACTTCAGCATCTGCTACATGTCAAGCACTGTGCTAATCACGTCAACTTCCTTTTTGTAGTGTCTTCCAAACTTCAGTTCTTTGAGAACTGCTTTCATCATTTTTGCCAAATCTCCACACCATCTGTACAGATATTAACTTAACATTAGCCTTTATATTGTCTTTAAAGTGCTGCCTCCTTTAGCTTTGTACTAGGCAATAATATCTATGAAATCATGATGTGTTAGTTACTTTTTAGAAGACACATTCTGTAAATTAATAACTATGTGTAGCACTGTAAAATAACCACTGGACCACAACAATATCAGTGGTTCAAACCTACCAGCCACTCCTCAGAAGCCCTACATGGCCACTATGAATCAGAACCTTCTCAATGACACTTAACAACAGCAAGAATTAACATTAAAAATGTCATCTAAGCATTTCAAACATAAGAACAATTATAAGGATGACACAGGATAGACAGTGTTTTGTTATGTTGTGTATAGGGCAGCTATGAGTTAGAATCGACTCAACGACACCTAACAACAACAAAGTTTTCTTAGAGTAGCTCATTTAATTACCACCAAATGCTAAGGTACTATTATAATCACTGTGTCCTGGTATGGTGCTGTAGGATAAGCACTGGAGTTCTAACCATAAGATTGGCAGTTCAAACAGACCAGTTGCTCCTTGGAAACCCTACACAGAGTTAGAACACACTTGACAGTATTTAACAAAAACATCCTACATTATATCTTTATACTGTAGTCCAAATGTTCTTATAGTATCACACTATAGGAAACCCAATTCAGTTACATTACTTAACCCAGCATTGCCAGGCCCCGAAATCCAAGCCTGACCGACTGCAAAGCCCTGCTCTTAACCAAGTTTCTTAGTGACTGATGTGAGGGATACTCAGCTTTGTCAGTAAAATTTGCCAGAGCAGAATTTATAGTTCCTACACTAACAGGGACACAGATCCACAAACTTAGATTTTTACATATAGGGAAGGGGGAGTTTGGCTAGAAGAAACTTACAAAGGAAAAATCGCGCTAAGCCCTTCCTAAGTTTTAATTTTGAGAAATATCAAATCTACAGAGAAGTGGAAGGGGTAGTAAGTACCATATTGTCATCCGTACTTACTAACCGTCATCACTTACTGTTTGTGTGTGGCATTGGCTGAACCATTTGAAAAGAAATGGCAGATAGTGTGTCTTTTCACCTCTACATGCAAGAGGGCTTCAAAGAGTTTGTCAAAAAATTCCATTATTCTTTTAATTTTCCATGAACTTTTTGAAGCTCCCCCCATACTTCTTCTGCACGTACTTACTAAGAACAAAGATCATCTCCTCCATTATGACAATACAACTAATACACCCCAAAATGTAACAGTAACACACTAATATTACCTAACATACAGAAAACAATAAAAAATGAATACATCACTATATAATCAATTCCATCTCATAGAGACTCTGCTGTTATTGTTAAGTGACATCGAGTCAGTTCTGACTCAAAGTGACCCTGTATAGGGTTTCTGAGAAACAACTGGTGAGTGTGACCCACAGATCTTGTGGTTTAACCTGACCTTTTGGTCCAGGGCTTTAGCCCACAGCACCACACCAGGACATTATAGGATAGGATAAAACTTCCTCGTAGGGTTTCCAAGTCTATAATCTTTCCTGGAGCAGTCTCAGCTTTCTCGTATAGAGCTGCTGGTAGGTTCCCTCCTTCGACCTTTCAGTCAGCATCTATCTATGTTTCAAGTTTCTCAACAGTTTCAATAATACCCCTTATCTCTCACCTCCCATGATCTAATCCAAGATTATTCACTGCATTTCGTTGTCAGGTTTCTTAGTCTCTTTTAATCTAGAACAGACTTTCCACTTCTTTTGTCTTTCATACATTAAAATCTTTAAGGCGTCTATATCAGTTGTCATGATTAGTTAAATTCAGGCTAAACTGCCTTCCTTTTCTTTTTTCATATGCCTTGAATAATATGATTTTACAGAACTACTTGAGAAAAAGTTATGCACACTATACATAACTGCATAACTTTTTCTCAAGTAATTCTGTATAATCATACTAGAAAACACATACAGAAAATATAGTAAGAATCTTTAAAACCTAGTAGCTTCTGGATAAGTTTCGTATATGTATGTTGTTAAGTGCTGTTGAGTTAGTTCCGACTCATAGGATACTTTATAGAGTTTCTATAGAGTGGCTGGTGGGTTTGAACCACCAACCTTTCAGTTAGCAGTCCAGTGTTTATTCTACAGCACCACACCAGAGTATATATGTATGTATATATATATATTAGATAGATAGATAGATAGATAGATAGATAGATAGATAGATAGATAGATAGATAGATAGATAGATATGTTAAGGGAACTATTAATTGGCTAGGTAAAGAGAGGTAGCTATGATCTGCGATAGCTACACCCAACATCCCAAGAAGTTTCTTATTTAAACGGATTTCCCTTTTCATCTCCTTAAAAACAGATTCAAAATGAGCACAATGTTGCTTTACCTTATCGTCTGTCATTTTATGGGCAGTGAGTCCTTTTCTCAAATCCAGGCCCTGTAGAGAGAGTGGGCACTTGCAGCTGCAGCCCTGCCTGTATTCTCCCTGCTCTGCATAACCCTAGTTATACATTGGAGAAGGAGGAGCAAGGTGAGGGAGGAGTGAGGCCACTACACACCTTCAAGTTGAAGTCTACTTTGCAGAGCCTACCTTGCAGAGAGGCTGGATATTGACGGGAATCTAATCAATAAGTACTTTGCCTCAGCAACCTGTGGCATGAATGTCTTTGTTCCACCAAAATGAAAATGGGAGCAGGTTCTTTAGGCGTAAGTTACAAACTTAAGGCTGTCACATATGAAGGCACATGTGTTACATGTGGCAGCAACTGGGAGGTAAAGAGAAAACTCACTGGGGTATTATGTGGAAGATGAACTATGCTGGGCTGCTATGCTGTGTTGAGGGGAAGACAGATGAAGTCTAGAACCTGGGAAATACGCTGTGCTCTGCTTCCGAGAGAAGCAGTGTTGTCGTATGTGTGCTTTAGAGGTAGGCTATGTGGCAAGAGGCTGTTGTAGGGGTGAGTGCATGAGCTTTGGAATGTGGTGGACTTGGCTTTGAGTTTCAACATTTTCCTCATGGTGTGACCTTAGACTAGTGGGTTCCTGTGACTTTTCTGTGCCTTCCTTAATTTTTTTCTTTTCTGGGATAAAATTGAAATAGCAGGACAACAGTCTCTTTTATTAAAAAATATTAAACAAGGTAATATATGAAAATGCTTAGCATAATCCTGATACAAAAAAAGTGTTCAGCAAGTGGTTGTGGTTGTTGTTGTTGTTACTGTTAAGTGACATCTCATCAATTTCAATCCATAGCGACCCTGTATAGGGTTTCCAAAGAGTGACAGGTGAGATTGAACCATTGACCTTGCAGTTCAAATGGACTTTGCAGTCCAGTGCATTAACCCAAAATGCCAGAGGTAGTTGCTGTTATTATTATTGGTTCAGTGTGTCAAGGAAACTTCTGGAGGTGATAGTGGACCATGCTCAACTAAAAGTGCTCATATGGCATGGGCTGGTGCCTCACTATGTATCCAGTCACCATGGGGGCCCATGCAATATCAAATCTGATTGAGCTTAAACTATCAACTGTTGTTGTTGGGTGTTACATGCCATAGAGTCAGTTCTGACTCATAGTGACCCTGTAGAGGGTTTCTGAGGCTGTAAATCTTTATGAGAACAGGAAGCCTCATCTTTATCTGGTAGTTTTGAACTACTGACCGTGAGATTAGCAGCCTGATTCATAACCACTATGCTACCAGTGCTCCTGGTTTGTTGACTAGGGTTCCATTTAAGTGTCCAATGAGACCAGTTCCCAGCAGAGGAAATGTGACAGCTGATGGTAGTAAGAAGAGAGGTGCTTTGAAGAAACAGAATGAGTAATTAATTGTAGTTAGGGGTGGAAGAGACTCAGGTTTCATTTGCCTTTTTTTTCTTTTCCCCACCTCTTTTCATTTCTACCAGCTCTGCATTGCTAAGTGTTTGATTTGAGATGGTAAATTATTCAATTCAAGCCACAAACTTTTACCAAATCTGCAAAGTCTCAAGCTCTGGGATGAATGAAAGAAAGAAAACACAACCTCCTCTTACAAGGAGCTCATAATATATAAGAAGAAATGTATGTAAACACTATACACAAAACCTAAAACAAACACATACACACATACAACCCAAACCCATTGCCATTTAGTAATAGTGAGAGAAGGATATGATGTTTGGTAAGGCGGAGGGTCAGAGAAAAAGAGGAAGACACCCAATGAGATGGATTGGCCAAGTAGCAGCATCGATGGACTCAAGCATGGCCCAGGATCAGGCAGTGTTTCATTCTGCTGTGCATAAGGTTGCTATGAGTCAGTACCGACTCAATGGCACCTAACAACAACAACAACAAATCTATAGCAGAGTAAAACTGTAAATCTTTCCAGAAGCAGACAGCCATATCTTCTCCTTCAGAGCAGCTGGTGGATTTGAAGGAAGACCTTTCAGTTGGCAGTCAGATGCTTAAGTATGGAGCCATCCCAGACTGCAATGCAGTACACAGTGTGAGAATTTCTCCTTGGGAAGCCATGGAATGATAGCTAATCTTTATTGAGGTCTTGCTCTGTGCCAGGTGCTGCTCTCAGCACTCTGCTTGGATTAGTTCAGCCAAGTCTTGGAGGGCAGCTTTGAAATCAGCCTTGAAAGTGTCCAGCACATGCAGTGGCCACACTGACATTCTTGTAGAGCCATCTCCTTGCTTTCTGTTCTGCTCTGGGTCAACCAGAGACATCACACTCATGTCAGAGGTGTCTATATTCATGAGTGGATACCTTAGCAGTCGTTTTCAGGAAAGAGTCTTTGTAAGTTGTCAGAAACAATGCATTAGCTATCCCGTGCTGTTCAGCAACCTTTGTTTTTTGAACCTTCCTTAAGAAATGGAATTTGCCTTGAGTGAGGTGTGGGGTGGGTGAGTATACCCAGCGTGGCTGAGCTGGGGAAGAGGAGGTTCAGTTTAGGTCTTTTGCTCTTGCTCAAGAATGAGTCATCTCTCTGCATCACTTAGGGATGAGGTAAAACTTTATCTGTGTGTGTGTGTGTATATATGTGTGTGTATGGTGGGGGAGAGGAAGGGGGGTGTGACGGTTATTTAGTTACACTGATTGAATTGATTGATTTAGCCTTTGGAGAACTGATTCTCAATTTCTGCCTGGCAGGAGAGTTTGCATTAGCACAAACCAGAGGAGCTGCAGGTCCTGCTGACAAGAGGGTGTCCAGGCATTTCCTGGTGGTAGGATAATGTCAGGCCTCTTGTGTTCTGCTTTTTACAAGTGGAGAGCTGGGCAAAGAGAGGTGAATTATTCAATGTGGGGCACCAGTGCCCAACATTATGCTGGGCGGGATGAAACCAGATCTATGGAGGTTCTTCTGTCTTCCCACTTTAAAACCCTGTAGATATGAGAGTCTAATCATTTCATTGATTAATTTAATCTCATTTGTAGATCCCCTAAGTGGTTAGAGTTTTCCAGGACAGAAAAGGATACCCCCTTTTATTTTTCATTATTGTTTTTCCGTTTACTAAAATAGTTGTTAGTTTTTATTCTATAAATGGGAGGAAGATATCCAATTTTCTCCATGTGATGCATTCCTTTCTGTTTGGGTCAGGCATGGTAAGTGGAAAAGCATCTTTGGAGAGCCAAACAAAATGACATCACCTGAGACCAAGTGAGATGCGGGTGGGAGAGGGGTAAGGTGGAGGTACATATGAGAATGTGCAAAAGTCCCCAGGCCCTGATAAAGACCATTGTATGTTAAGATTTCTAAGCCAAATTTTCCATCGCCCCACTGCAGCCTGCTAAAGAGAAGCAAACCTTTTCATACTTTGTCTTTCCATTGTCTCAACAGCTCTCTCTAGTTAAGTCCAGCATCTCTCCTGAGCCTCCTACCTGATGTCCCTGCTCCCATTCTTGGTCTACAGTTCCTTCTAGAGAGAGCAGCCAAAAATAAGTTTTAAAGTTACAAGTCTCCAAATGCCTCCCAATCTTGCTTAGAACAAAACTCACGTTCCTCACCATAGCTTATGAGGCATGCCTTGATGTATCCCTTGAGGTGAAGATTAACGGCAGGAATTGTCTAACCATATTCTCTTTCCCTGCTATCTCAGAGGTTTATAGAATCAAGAAAGCCAATCATACTTTATAATCCAGATTGCCTAGTTCCATGTTATTCACTAGGCTTACTTCCCTGCATTCATCCCCACCCTTTAGAAACACTTTCAAGTGAAACCAGGAGATGGGTCAACATCCACATAGAAGGGCTAATGGGGCAGCTGAGGGCCCAATGTCAGTATGATGAATATTGGGGGAGTTGAGTCAGTACTGAGAGTTCCAGTCATCTCATTTCAGGTGGAAACTCTTAATTTATTGTTAATTTTTTGGAAATGTGGATTTATTTTTAAGGAAATCTTGAGATTTACTCAAATAAAGTAGGGTATTTTAAGTAAGCAAGACTATTAAGCTATGTGAAATGCAAAAATCCTTCTTTGCCCATTGACATCCACTTGGGTGTAGCCACATACGGTACCTAAAAGTTTCCTGAAAATCCACATCTTTCAGATTTAGCATAGTTGTTGTTGTTGTTGTTGTTGTTGTTGTCAGGTGCCATTGAGTCGGAACCGACTTATAGCGACCCCATTGACAGCAGAACGAAACAATGTCCAATCCTGGGCCAACCTCACTACCACTGCCACACTTGACGCCATCAATGATGTCACCTGGCTGATCTATCTCATTGGGGGTCTTCCTCTCTTTCTCTGACCCTCCATCTTACCCAGCATGACATCCTTCTCTAGCGACTGTTCCCTCCTGACAATATGTCCAAAGTATGAGAGACGGAGTTTAGCCATCTCGGCCTCCAAGGAGCATTCTGGCTGCATTCTTCCAAAACAGATCTATTGGTTCTTTTGGCAGTCCATGGCACTTTTAGTATTCTCCTCCAACACCAAAACTCGATGGCATCAATTCTTCTACAATCTTCCTTATTCACTGTCCAGCTTTCGCATCCATATGAGGTTATTGAAAATACCATGGCTTGGGTCAGGCGCACCTTAATCCTTGCTCTTCAACACTTAAAAAAGTTCCTGTGCGGCATATTTGCCCAATTTGCACAGAAATGAATTACTTAAACCTTGTTCATTTGTGTTATAGTAGCATTAGTGATAACTCTCATATCTAGTATTCTTGTAGACTTTTACAGCTATAGTAAATGACATTTCGTAATATCCCCATAATATACCTGAAGTAGGTGTTATTATTCACATGTAACAGATAAAGAAACAGGTGTACAAAAACAGCTTAGTAATTTGATCAAGGTCACATAATTAGGTACTGTCACAGTTTCTTATGAACCCAGGCTTTAGATTTTTTTTAAAAAAAACTTTTTATTGTTAATTGAATGAAAGTTTATAAAAGAGATGATCAGATTTACATT